TATATATATATATATTATTCTGAGGAGAACTAATGGTTTAAAATGAAAGAGTCCGACAAAATAGAGCCCATGACAGAAGATCATGAGGCCCACTTGTCCAATTGAGTAAAGTTGTCGAGCCAAACCAACAACACCAAAGCCGAGATGGGCCAAAAATGACTGGAGGAAGCAAGAACAAACCACTTGGTCAAAAACGAGACAAAATAGTATATGAGCTAACTATTATAAGAAAATCGATCCGAGGGAAAAACAGGTTCCCTATTATCTCCAAGCATACCATTAATGCCCAGAAGCTCCTCATCAGAGATCAACGATTAACAGTCGAGTCATTTCAACCGCCCAACCCATATCGACCAAACTCAACCAACCGAGCGGATCTCAGCTAACCGAGCATATCTTGCCAACCCAAAGCCAATTAAGTTTAGTAGACCAAGCTAAAGAGCAGTTGGACGATAAGCACATATAAAATACCAGAAATACATCACTACGTACCTCTTTAAAGTAGAGAAAAAAATCTAACATCACGATATTACACCCTCTCCTCTAAAAATAAAGTAATTATTAATTATTTTATGAAACAGGAGTTGAACGATCAAATGTTGAATGTCATCTGAAACACGTTGTCCTAGGGAATAAATCATCAACGTTGAATAGGGCCGACGTCTAATAGTAGAAGAGTCTCCCCATTTTTGGAAAGAGAAGGCAATTCCCAATACTTTAATAGTGAGAGGTCGACACCTATCAACCAGCATCTGTTTAGGCGTACTGACGCATCTTAATAACCCGAGAATGCATTCTCTAGGCAAATCTCTAAGGTCGAGCCCCCGGAGCGATTAAAGATCCCAACACTGGAGTCCAGTAAGGGGCGGACCGATCCAACCAACCACATAAACTCATTTGAGGGGACCATATATTTGATGAGGATCATCGACGCGCTAAAATATCATCTCTTCTTTATCATGTTGGGAATTTGACCCTCAGATGGTTCAATGGATTATCGCTAGGAGTAATCACATCATTCATCAATTTCAAGTGAATATTTGTGGCGTAATTTGCCAGCCCTCAGAAAACTTAGAAAAACTCACACACCCTCCTACAGATTTTTCAGGGACAAAGCAAGAGCCTTCGCTCATTCAATGGCTTCATTTTGTGCACATGGAGGGATTAAATATTCATGTTATTTAAATATTATATAAATTTAATTTATACTTATATATTAATGATAATATATATTTATATATTAATAAATTTCAATTCAAATCTCTCCTAATTAATTTCATTCAAGCTAAGTATTAATTAAATATTAAATAAGCTACTTTTATTTAGGGAGAGTAAATTTTTTTTCCCGATTTTCTTTAATAAATCTGAATGTAAATATAGGAAGATTCAAAACTTCTCTCTCCCCCCTTCATTCATTAGGATGATTAATTCTCTCCCTCTCTAAATTTCTTTATTTCCTTCATCCGCACAACGGCAGAGCGCTCGATACCCCTCTCCTCTCTTTCTGATCATTCAGGCCCGCTCCAGGTCTCCTATTTCTCCACTGAAGTCTCCATCTTCCCTGCAGGCTATTTCAGCATCCAACTCATCTACCTCTGGCCTGCACTAAGCACGCCCTATGCTCATTCCACCAACTCCTATCCGAGACAAAACCTACCATTTCCGACAGAGAACCCACCTGAGAGCTTCCATCGCGCCTACGAAACTAACGCAACACAGCCGCGTTCGTCTCCCTTTTTCCTTCTCCAGTCAATTTCGCCGGCAGCAAATCCCACACCACCTTCTCCCTCTCACTTTCTCTCTCTCATTTTCACCAAAACCGAAACCATCCCCACCTGCCTTTGCCAGCAGCAAATCGAGCAGTCGTTACACCCTCTCCGGTAACAAACGGCACACCTCCACTCTCGGTGCTCCAATCCGTGAGCGTTCCAGCCCCGTCAAGCCAAGTCGTTTCTCCTTCACATATATTTCGTCCGGACGCAGCTTGTTGTTGCTCCTCCACAGCATTTCCAAATCCTTTCTCGTCTTTCTACCCCCATAAGCAAAAATAATAAAATAATAATTAAAAAAAACAGCGGAAAAGAAAAAAGAAAAAGCGAGAAACACCCGCTCCTAATCCATGCATCTTGGTTACTTCATGCCGGTCTAAAGGTATAAAGGTTGTTCCCTAAACACTCCAAATATCTATCATGTAGTGCTCAACGCATTGAGTAGTGCCCAATACACATTTTACTTCCTGTGATGGGGTGAAGCCCACATGATAGGTAATTTTCAAACAATAATTAGTTGAAATGTCCACTGTTTTGTGCTCAGAGCTTCAAGGGGAGCCTAATTCGCTTTTTTCTTGCCGTGGTGGGGCAAAACTTGCATGTGCGCTCACAACACTGTAAATACTTTACTTGTGCTTAATTTTTGTGCAAGAGGCGAGAGTTTACTACTGCATTTGATTTTTCTTATTTGTGAAACTCATACACGTTTTTCTTAATTAAGTAGGCTGAAGACTATTCAGCCGTAGTGCAAACCAACTATCTATTTCTTTTTTGGCACGGCGGCCAAGCTCAGCTTTCCCGAAATAACCCCTCACGAGAATGACGCCAACAGAATGCCAAAATTATACAAAAATTATGTCCAAATAATGCTTAGAATGAATAACTAAATTAAGTTAAATTGCAATAAATTTTACTAGAACTAAATGAAAATATGACACTAAATAGGACGCAATGGAGAAAAAGGATTCATGTAGCCGACCCCACTTAGTGGGATTAAGGCTTTGTTGTTGTTGTTGCAATAAATAAATTTTGCAAATTTTAAAGCTAGAGGCAAATTGGGACTTTCTTTTAAAAAAAAGAGAGAAAGGTTGAATTAAATTAAAAAAAAATGTACAGCATTCATAAGGAACGTCAACGAGCTCGAATGATATCTATAAATTTACTAGAAATCATGCCTTAAAAATAAGGTGGTGGGGTGGGCGGATAATCAAATGGGAGTTTGAGTAAAATATAATGTTTAAAATTCACGATCAAGATTATATTTTACAAATGGCCACCGGATCTGCAACACGCTTGCACAAGTGATTAGAAGGCAAAAAACTATACGGCTCAAAATGAAATATTTGTATGCATTCTACCGATGATACAATCCTTGAAAAAACAAACTCTAAATATCTTGAAAAGTTCATACAGTTAAAACCAACCCGCATGTGCTCTGACAAATTTGTTGAATGCTCAAGTATAAGGTCTGAGAATGCTGCACTATTTAAGTTAGATTAAATTTTAAAATGCCCTTCTTGAAAATATGCATGTTATCAAAAATATAAAGCTAGCAGGTGCTCTATGGCATGTTCAAAGTCTCTTAATCTTAAGCATCTAAGAATGTTGTGGGGTTCATCGCATGTTTAAGCTGAAATCAAATATGTTTTAAAAAGCATGCATGCATTTCAAAGTCTAGCAGAAATCTCATTTAAAAATATCAATTTGAAAAATGCTAAAAGTACACAGCTTTGGACATGCCTCCTTTCCTATATGGCAAGGTCGTAACTCCAACACCTTAGTTTGGTTCCTTTCCCATGCAGACTATGGACAAGAAGACACAGCTTCCACTAGGCTACTATGATCCTCTTCCTAATAGGAACTGTATTGGACATGACTAACTATTTTTGGATGTTTAAATGAAAAAATCCAATTAAACGCCAAAATAAGTATTTCATCTTAATTCTCGATGATGGGCATACTTGTTGCACATCTCAACCGAAGAGGTGTATCTAAAATTCAAAGGAATTTCAAATAATAAAATCATAAAAATATATATTTAAATATAATATATAAATCACTAAAAAGTAAAGAGCGACCTGAGTGAACAAATTCAATGTTAACCTAAGCTTGCATAGAGTTAATATCATGTCAAGTATATTACTAAACTCAAACGCAAAATAACTTTGTGTCAATAGAGACGTGGGGCCCGAGTCCTCTATTCGCATAGACTTTGAATCTAAATGACATCATAAGAAGTGGTTACGACCAGAGCACTATGATCCAGTGATTTGCCGCCAAATAGCAACATTATTGTACAGTCACGACTATCGCCTGGTGTGATAAGACACGAAGTCTTTTGTTAGCTAATGTTGACTTAGATTAGTCCCCTTAGATAACTATTACTCATAATTGCTGACAAAAATTTTTATGTCTAGTTGGGTCGACCACCTCCTCTCACTAAGTAGATTAGGGTCCATGACATCCCAGGATAACAGAACCATGTGATCTTTATTAGGTGTATCATTTCCCCAACCATTCGTTCTTGAGCTCACAACAATGATTTAATAAATTTTAAAATCATATATTTGTTGCTAATATAAGCTAAACAATCAGCTCTTTAATGAGTAGCCTTACTCGAAAGTGCTCTCCCATTATCAGGAATGGTACTTAACCATAGGAGCTTGCGCTTATGGGAAACCTTAAACCCCAAATCTTAAAGACATCGTAAAATCTCTCATTATCAGGAGTGGTACTTAACCATAAGAGCTTGCGCTTATGGGAAACCTTAAACCCCAAATCTTAAAGAAATCATAAAATGAGGGTGAAATTTCTAGGCAGTTTCTTATCTACCATCTCATCTGCTATCTAAAAATATGACCCAGAACTTAGTGCCTAAGCTCTTAACGAGAGTCCAGTATTTCAAATTTTTAGAGTACACAACACTACATTTGAAACTCACTGAGCAAACACACAAATTTCTGAAGCTCCTATAAAAAGAATGCAGCGCACTCCTTTTGTAAAAAACCAAAACAACCCCCAAGTTCAACAAAGCTAGTAAAACAGTCAAAGACAACTAAACAGAGAAAAAAATATATTAAATCAACATTCAGAGTAAACAAGCATGGGGAAGCAGAATTGAAGAGCAAATGAATGCATGGGTAGAATTCGTGATTGATACTAAGTTTTTGAACAGAAAGACCATGGCTGTCCATATCAATAACAGAACCACAGACAAAGAGCTCCATTTCTATAAATCAACAGCATTCATGACAAAGCTTTCACTTGTACTGAACAACACCAGAATTATTAAAGCAGTAGTATAAGTTAAATAATCTCACAACCACGACCTTTATTTATGCACAAGCATAAGAGGCAACAAATAGTTAAGCACCAACAGGAGTTACCTCACTGGGGGCTTGCTTCGCCCCCGCCCCCCCCCCCCCCCCCCCCCCGCCCCCCCCCCAGCCAGTACTCTTGTTGCTTACAAATACATTTCCACAACCGCTGCCACCGCAGCCTCCACCACAACCACTACCACAGCCACCGCTCTTTGCAATGGTTCCACAGCCACTACCGCCACAACCAGCGCCACATCCACCAAAAGCGCCGGCATTGAAAGAATTCACTTTGTCACCCCATTCATTAGTGCAACTGAGGCTCTTATCCTGTGCTTTTAAATTCTCCGAATCAACAACTGTAATAAGCCCGCCCTTCTTTAACAGGCTTGAAAGGATAAATGACAGCACGAGAGCAGGCAAGACAAAGCAGTCTTCACTAATCTATTTACAAAGAAATCAGAGTTCTGAGATTTGTAATTTGTTAGAATTATAGGTATTATTCTGCAGGGAAAGGGAAAGATGTACCTTAACAAGGCCAGATTTTAAGTCAAACAAGGCCATTGCTTTACCGTACGGGTTTTCAGCGGAGAATTCTACAACTGTCATGAAGTTCTCAGACTTGGCCTGCATAGCATTCTTGGGCTGATACTCGAACTTCCTACCAGGGAAGAGCTTCAACTGAACAAAAGATGCATATTTATCATTTTATTATTTGTCATATTTAGAACAAGAGCATTTTTTTTTACACATTTCTAACACCAAAAGTTTGAAATTCACATTTATAGCTTGTTGGTGTTATAAATCTATGCAAAAAAATGTGCATTTCACTTCTTAAAAGTTAACAAGGTGATATTTTGGACACGATGTTAAAGATTTGAGTGTGATTTGAGTGTTATGAATGAATGTAAAAATTAAAGTTTAGGTATTAGATATGTAAATACATAAGAATTGTGTGGTATGCATGTAAATGCCTGTAAGGCAAAATAGAAATACGTTCTATACCTGATCAACGCCCTTTAGCTCAAGCACATAGCCCTCTTGGTTAGTGTTTTGTTGAACAGTAAGAGATAAATTCGAGTCTTTGAAAAACCACGTGTCCTCAACATATTCTGCCAATAAATGTAAATTTCTGGACAGTTTCGTCATTCCAAATATATTCTGCTTCAATATAGGATGCATACTTCCTCCTGTTTCTTTTGACTTCCTGGTTTTATATAGTCAGGCCACATTCGATCAGCTTAGAAAAGGTGGCCAAACAACATGAATATAAACAGATCTAAGTTAAGCAATTATAAATAATATCACAAGGCATAACGACTAGTTTCTTTTACATCCTCATTTAAACAAATTTAAAATATTATTCTTTTAATTTCCATAAATCCACAGTAGACAGAAGAAGTAACAGCTTAGGTTTCTTAGATTCCAGATTTGGGAAAGCAAAAGTAATAAATAAATCAAGCATTTCAACAAGGCATGGTAATGATGGGAAAGTTATGGATTTTAGCAGAGAAGTGGGTGGGGCGAGCTGCAACATCCACGTCTTTCCCCTATAAAATCTCATTTTAGTAAAAAAATAAGATTTAATTATATCCTAGATTACACTCACTCCTCCACTCCTAGTTAAGAAAAAATAATAAAAATGTCTTTCAACCTATTTCACGCTAACAAACAATCCACCCAAAAATTCACTTTTGGAATTCCCTCTCAAACACATACACACACACACACACACACACACATTTATGTAAAAGTCAAAAAATGTCTTGATAATATGTAAATAAATTATAATAGTTTTAGCACTTTCTGTTATTTTAAAAAATGACAGGTCCCTCCCTTATTATATCTAGGAGAATTAAGGTTTTTTCCTATAATTATTGATGATAATCTGAAATATTTAAGTCTCCCTCTTTGAGAGAGTAGTGAGGATAACTAGAATGAGAATGAAGGTCTCTTATTCGGTGTTGTGAGAGCCAAATTGGTCAGTACCTCGCGTAGTGTGCTTAAGTCACTGCAGAACCTTTCTTTCCTTCTCTTTGTAAGTTGTAGAAAGGAAAAGCTATCTACCAAACTATGTAAAGAAGTCCAGCTAGTTTCTTCAAGGTGCTTTATCCGTCAATAGCATTTTGGATTTTTTTAGCTCATAAAAATGGATAGAGGGATCCACAGTGCTCTTCTACTTGGTTCGCAATCTCATTAAATTGTTTATGGGATCAGCATTGTTTTATTTCCCAATGTAAAATATTTATTTGTTTCAACAAAGCGACCATACATGTCAAAATCATTATCAGGCACATCTCAACTATTTGGGGTAGGCCGAGGTTCTTATGAATGTAATGATGAACTAACTAATTTAGGATTTTAGCAGCTGATCATACTCGTATTATTTAAGAAGATAATTTATTAATGATATTTCCACATATAAAAATAAATAAATCTTTGAGATTTTTCTCCATTAAATTTCTCTAAAACTTGTATCCGAGTAGATGGGGTTTATTAGGTTATGTTGATCATGAACAAGAATAGAGCTATTACTGGCACAAATCATTTTGTTGCTTAATGAACTTTGTTTAATGTACATGCAAAAATTAAAAAACAATAATTTAAGAAAGAGATACAGAATACTTTTATATGAAATGAGTCCTTTAAGAACAAAATTTTATCTCACATAGAACATAACAATTAACATAATTTTTTTAAAGTTCGTTGTGACTTTAGAGAACAAGTTAAATGAATCTATTGAAGGTTGCTTGGGCAATCATACCTTATTTGTAAACTGACTATATCATTACCATAGCCGTCTACAAAATGAGCCCAACTTCTCATATGTTGAGCCATACCAGGAAATGGAAATCTACATGCATTCATAGAAAATGAATGTAATTTCAACGTTTCAAACACTTGAGGTGATGGAACTGGAACTGTAAAAGAAGCAGCAACACGAAGATAAATAGGCTTGGAATTTGCTTGTCTACTGTGGCGCTTCAATTCAAACCATTTATCAACAGATAGTTCAGCATTTGGATCCATTAGTTCATCAAGTGAGATAGAAATCGATCCAATTGTTTTTGCAGGTTTTGATTTGGTCACTAAAGTCACGATAAGATCTCCAGTTGGTTCACATTCAAAACCAGCCACCTGTTTGTCCCCCGTCTCCGAGAAAATACTAAGATGGCAACTACCATGCAAAAACATATCTGGCTTTTTCTTGCTAAAAGAAACAAAAACATTTCCTTTTTCATTAACGGGCAGGTTCCTTATTCCCACAATTTCTAAGAGGACCTGTAAAATTGAAATGAAGAATTTTCAGAGAACCAAACAGCATGATAACTTTTCATTTTTTTCACTAGTTAGATAGAATCGACTCTAATATTTAAAGGGGCGGTCATAGGTTCAAATAAACCCCAAAAAAGATGTGCCTATAAAGCGAGGTTTATTTTAACTGGATTAGCGAACCTAAAGCTTGCCTAAGTCAAATTTTAAGTGGCTTGCAGGACGCAAAAATCAGGATCTCTTGATTCAGATTTTCCAAAGAAACAACAAAAAAGATGTGCCTATAAAGCAAGAGTACCTCTGAGTAAGGAAATACGGCCTACAAACTTAAAAGCTCTACAAATTAAATTAAAGAAAAGAGGCAAGCAAGCATATTTCCTTAAAAACCTGATAATTGAAAGTTGTTAATATTGAAAGTGTATTCTTAAATACCGGGTCACACACAGTCCTTATCTGAAGAATCGGACTGTCGATCACCCAAACAGATTGAACCGGTCTATTCTCAATTCCAATTTCCAAACATATCCGCTCAATGAGAAGACCACTTAGCCTTCAGACTTTGGTTATCCGAAGTGCTCCGATCCAGCTGGAAGCCGTCTGAACAACAATAAATATTTTTTAAACAATTCTCAAGGCAAAACCCATTAATCGAGACGAAGAAGAATATATCATCATCAGTCTCTAGTCATTCCCCTGAGCATAAGTCTTATCTTGTGGTACTGCGAGTGTACAGGACCCTACGTCACAAAAATGATTCAGTATCCTAAAAGGTATGGTGAGCATGAGTATCACACTCAGATCCTGAAGACAAGATCCTCTTCGCATCACTTCGAGGTTGTAGAAGAAAATGATAGATGTAATCAAAGAATATGCAAACCAACAGATACAAGAAATGAAAAATTAGGTGTTGAAAGAAGTGTGAGTCTTACATGAAGCATCCCGAGCCCATTCAGAAAAAAGAACTCGTAGTGGATCCTTCAGATCAGTGTTTTGTAACGAAAATCCAGATGAAAGGATTATCGTAGGACAGCAGAATCCTTCAAGAGCGACTGAGGAACAACGCCCGCAAGAGTTGTCTCCTGAGACACCACAACAAGGAGTACGTCAAGCTAAGGCACAATAATAGGGAACAATACCGTTAGAAAGGTCGGCTCTTCCCAGAGAAAGTAAGCAGACCCAGGACCGACCAAGGGGAAGAGCCAGGAGAACACTCGCTCTGGCACTTGAGCAAATACGAGCAAACCAATATGAAGAAAATTCTTCAAATCAGAAGAAATCAAGGACATAGTCGACAAAAGAACCTAGCAAAAGATGGAGAAGATCCTTGTCATATTCACTGACCGACGACACGGAAGAAAGTTTGTAAAGGAAGCGGAGGCTTCTCTTCAATACAAAAAGAGGAAGAAGAAGAAACAGGAGATATATGGTTGCAGAAGAACCTTTATCAAGAGAAATTTCAAAATATAAAGTGTTGAAAAAGTTCAAGATTCCGGCTTTGGAGTCTTATAAGGGAAAGTCTGATCTTACAGATCACATATCCTCCTTCAAGTCAACCATCTGCATGTTAAGGATAAATGACGAGATGAAATCTCATCTATTCCTAATGACATTGAAGGAATCAACCCTATGATGGTTCAATCACTTGCTAACAGAAGCGATTACATCTTTCAAAGGATTCAAGCATATATTTGTGGCCCACTTTGCAAGCACGCAAAAAACCATTAAAAAACTCGCAAGCTCTTCCGAGGAAATGTAAAAGCACAAAGAAAG